GACAAAGATTTATTTTCTTGGTATGGTCAATGTTGATGGCAAGTATGACCTCCAGACTCATATTGCTAATGAGTTACAAAAATTCCCAAATGTTCTCACCACTTAGAAAGAAATGCAACAATTCTTGGGAATTGCCAATTACATGCGCAGTTTCATCCCCAACATTTCCTAACTTACATCTCCACTTTTCCAGATGCTTAAGAATAATTCTCCTTTATGGTCTGACAAGCAAACCAATGCAGTTAAGGGTCTTAAGCACAAAGCCTTCCTTACATAACCATTGAAGATCCCATCTTATAGGAAACGAATTCTTTAGACAAATGCTAGTGACACACATTGGGGTGCAGTGCTTTTTGAACAAGATGATGATAAAGTACGACATTTGTGTGGATACCAGAGCGAACAATTCAAATCGCATCAACAACATTATCATTCTACTTTCAAAGAAATATTGGCAGTAAAATATGCTATTGTAAGGTTTGAATTTCATCTTGTTGGACATCATTTCTTTGTTGAAATAGACATGAAATCTTTTGATCAAATACTTCAATTCAACAAGAAAAAGGTTTCACATCAACAATTACTCAAATGGGCAGAATGGTTTAACAAATACTCTTTCATCATCCAACACATCAAAGGCCACACCAATACCATTGCAGATTATTTATCTAGGCCTAAAGCTAAACAAGTTTGTTTCATTAACCCTAGGTCCAAATCACTTCCTTGTTTCATGTATCAACCACTAACCCAGTCCAGTTCTTGTTCATCCTCTTCTTCACCTAACCTTATACCAGACACATCTCCTGAATTCTATGATATGACCTTGTTCAAACTTATGCCATTGATGGAAATGCCACCACCCTCATGTTTTCTTATCAAATCCAATGCATTAAAAAGTATGGACAATCCATGTATGATATATTAGGTGTTCATCTAGATTATCCCTTTTCAAAGATCTTTTGTATACCTCTTGGTCCAAATATTATATTTCTAAAAGAATTATTATGGTTCTTTTGGTATATGTTGCACCATTATCACATTGCAGTCCAATTCCCTCTCCATTACATGTTGAAAATGATTTCTCAGTATCAGTCATCTTCAAACTCTGGATTAGACCCTTTGATGACTTTTCCTAAATGGCTCAAAACCTTGGAAAAATGGAAGTCTGTGTTTACTCATCAACTTGCTCGACATCGAGGTCCTATGTCAACCAAAGTGGCATGGTCCATTATGTTTTTTCATAGACACCACTATATCAGATCTGATGGCTTATGCTTCACGCAGCATCAAGTCACATTTCATAGGTCCTATCCATATGATTTAGTCCATAATATGTTTGATCACCCTCTTGAGATTAGATCTATTCAAAAAATCTTTTTTAAGAAAATCAGACGATTCCAGATGAGTTATGGCCATCTTTTCACGATGATTCTCCATGGGAACTCTTTCCTCTAGCCTACACTAAGAAGCTACTCCAAGCTAGACAGACATGCATAAATTTCATTATTAATGCCACTTCAGATATAGAAGACTATCCAGAATTGTGGTATTCACATTCTCAACCAGACACTGATAAAAAAGAAGAGTTTCAGCAGACTCATGACTATTATCTTCATAAATCCAAGCGGTAGCAGTACATGTATGCACCAAGTACCACTGTAAAGCAACCAGCTCAGTCTCTAGACATTTCTCTGGATACTCATGCAAATTCATTTTATCGATAAATCCCTGCTAATTGGATTCAAGCAATGGGCTGTCTCAATTATTGTGATGAAGACTCGTGGCATACTACAAATTTGTCAGATGATTAAATCTCTATTGCGGACAAATTTGTTGCAAAATTTAAGAGTACTATGTGTCTTAAAATTAATATCTATGTCCTTAATTGTATCTGTAAAATATGTGTGGATGATATGGAAGTTTGCCATATCAAGCGTAATAATGATCTTGTGTAGTCAAAACTGGAAAAAAAAAAAATAAGTCAGTCAAAAATGTCAAGCTCTTAGCCATGTGTACTATGTTTTGTTTTTAAATTTCTATCCCCCACGTTGATAATATTTCACGTGGATCATGTAAAATCTTTGTACTCGGTAGAAGGTTATTCTCCTTCTGTTCCTGTATTTGCCTATAAATAAGAAGCTACTTTTCTCGTTTTGGGAGAAGGCAAAGTTGTGTTTGTAAAATTTCTGTCTATGCTTGTCTCGTACACTTAAACTCTCTTTTAATCTCAAAGATGCCGTAATATTCTAATAATGGTGAGAATATCAAAAAGCCCTCACATAGTTTGAAAAATTGTCACATCATCCTTTATGTTTCTAATGTGCTTTAAAAAAAAAAAAACTAAAAAAAAAAAAAAAAAAAATTCGCAAATAGCTTACTAGAAAAGTCTAATTTTTTTTTTTTTTTTTTTTTGGGTCTTATTAAAGATAAAATAACTTATTTAATCTTTTATAAAATAACAAATTACTTGAGATGAACAATCAAGGTGGGGGCATAATTAATGGAATTTGATCTCTAGCCATACATATTAATTATATACTCTAATGATTCCCTTTCTTACAACACAAGAATTATAAACATCATGCTTCTCTTCTATAACCAAAACATTCTATTAAAAATATATATATACTGTATAATATTATAAATAAAATATTTAAATGTATACTATATAAACGAGGAATTGTAGTTTTAGTTGAGTACACACATCTCTTCCAATCCCAATGGAGACAAATCTCTGCAAATTTGAATGGAGGGACATTTTGGCATCCTTAAGCCTTAATGGAATCTGATCTCACTTATATACATTGAATTTGAATTAAACAAAGCATATGAATTTGATCATGTCTTGTTTTAGATCTTCACATTAGAAAAAATTGAACTGAAAAACTCATTAAATAACTGAAAAACTCATTAAATAAGTTAATTTTTTGACTAATCTAAAGATTATATAACTGTTTGATGAAATAGAATCACTCTTGTGCCACACCAGTTGATCTATGATATTTTTATAATGTTGAAATGGATTCTGAATTATTTTTGTTCAAAAATATTGATAAAGGTCTTTGTTACAAATCATATATAAATGACTTATTTCTTAATATCAGTTTAAAAAAATGGTTGATTAAGTGAATTTTCCATAATTCCCAAATTAATAAATAAAAAAAGAACCCACATAGAATATTATTAATGTGAATAATAATTTAAGTAACAAAAAATACATCAAATGCAACCTCTCAGTGCCTCAAGAGCGTAAGAAGAGATAGAACAAGAGAGAATCCAATAACAGAACTGGAAATCGGGAGAGAGAAGGGGCTCTGGTGTACAAAGAAGGAGCCGGTGCCGGCGCCATCTCGCCAGTACTTTGAGCTGAGACAGTAGCTGCTGACATCGTAAAAGCTGGCAAAACCAATACCATTATCATGCCCTTTGAGATATTAATAATCTTTGCCATTGATGAACAAAAATCTTAATTTAATTGCAGAAGGCGAAGAATGAGTAGAGGTAGTTTGTGAATGGTACAAAGGGAAACTTGATCGAATATTTATGGGGTACTTTTCGGAGCTCAACTTTGACACCAAGTATGGCTGTCTTTTCGCACAGCAACCATTTGTCTCTCCCTCTTTGGGACTCTTTCACTCTCGTGCATGAGCTCAACTCTACAAAATTTGAGCTTGCAGCTAGTCATTCCTTCATTTCTGAGTTGCTACAGCAGCTTAACTCTACTAATTTACTGGTAGAGGCCTTATTGATTGAGCTTACAAAAGAACATGAACGCTCGACTCAGAAGGTTGCGAGTCTGCCTAGTGGGAAGTTCACTGCTGACTTGAGCGTTGGATTGCCCGATGAAGTGAGGGCTGCATTAGGCTCTCACAAGCTTCCCTTAGGAAAGTCTCCAATGACGGGATTGGATGAAGTAATCGCGCCGGTTGGGGCAAGCTGGTTCAAGTTTCAAGATGAGTTGGTTCAGTATATGACATATGAGATTGGCGGGGAGTGTCCTGTAGATAATGTTTTAGCGCAGAGGCTTTTGCTTAAAGGGTGTGAACCGTTGCCTCGCCGGAGATGCCATCCAAAGTCCCCTCTCAATTATGTTGAGCCAACACCATTCCCAGAACATCTCTGGGCAAAAGCACTAGACACTAGCATCATTTGGGATCCTTACTCCTGTAAAAGCTACCAGTGCCTGATCGACAGAAACAATGCACCAGGGGTCTTTGCTTGCAAAGATTGCTTTGACTTGCACGGCAGAGAGAAGAATAGATGGCTCTTTGACAAAGGCCTGGACTATGGCATTGATCAGGTTTTGAGCATGAAACCTCAAGGGACAATCCGAATTGGACTTGATATAGGAAAATCTAGTACATTTGCTGCTAGAATGAGAGAGAGAAATGTGACAATCATCACAACTTCAATAAATTTTGATGGTCCATTCAACAGCTTCATTGCTTCAAGAGGCTTGATTCCAATGCATGTTAGTGTTTTCCAGAGGCTTCCTTTCTTCGAAAACACACTGGATATAGTACATTCGATGCATTTTCTAGCCTCTAGGCAACTGGATCTCATATGCCATGCTTAACACTCTTTGACATCTACAGAGTGCTGAGGCCAAGAGGGCTCTTCTGGGTTGATCATTTCTTTTGCTGTGGATCACAGCTCAACGAAACTCATGTTCTGATGTTCGATAGAATTGGATTCAGGAAACTTAGATGGAATACTGATATGAAGCTTGATCGCAGAATTGACAAGAATGAATGGTACTTTTCAGCTCTGCTGGAGAAACCAATGACCTGAGGTATGCATTTTTATACCATTTTTGTGCAAGACGAACACTCTCTTTGTGTAACAAAGGCAGGAGACTTCAATACACGTCTTTATTGGTTTTTGTATAATGTATTATACATTTTATTATGGTGCAAGTTACAAATGAATTCAGATATGTGTTCTCTCTTCTCCTAGGAAGTAAGAAACAGAGAAATGGAATGTTTACGATAAAAGAATCGAAAAACAGAAGAAGAGAATTATATTTTCAATAATAGAATACAACCAACTTAATCAAAAGAGCCGATAACAGATTTACGCCGAGATTCTGCAGTCTCCCTTTGGGCAAAAGAAGCAAAAATCATATGCTTAATGTAATAGAGAAGGCTACTCCAATAGAAGTACAAAATGCTCTTCTTATACAGTTTTTTCTGTCATATAGTCACAGCCAAAGTTCTCAAATTGCACTTCTAGTCATTTAGTACAAACAACAATGTTGATCCAAACCAAATTGCATTCTCTACCCAAAGTAAATACGAAACATAGGGACGTCCATTTCTTACCAAGTTCAACATTGAAAACTTCAAGTGATACTCATTGAGGCTCAACCTTTGAAGGTGGAAAGCCACCACTATATTGGAATGCGTCCTCGTCATTGCCATATGGGTGCTTCAAAGTATCTTTACTTGCATCATCGTAACTTGCTGAAGTAGATGCTGATTCTGCATTGGGATTCAGACCAGCAATCTGCAAAATATTCTCAATCTCCTTCACCACTTCACTCATTGTAGGTCGGTCAGCTCCTGATTCTTGGACACAACTCATTGCCAAATCCACATACTTTGCAAAACCTTTCAGTGTTGTACCCAAACCAATGGTTGGGTCAAGAAGTTCATATAGGTTATACAGATCTTTTTTCTTATCCATTGCAGTCTTTATCTCTCTTACAATGTACTTTCCTCGCTCTATCGGCCTTCTTCCGGTTATTAGCTCCAACATCAGCACTCCAAAACTATAAACATCACTCTTTTCAGTCAATTGTTGTGTCATGTAATATTCAGGATCCAAGTAACCCTGCATACAAAAAGGAAGAATCCATACTCAGGATATATAGCATTGGTTTAGAATGTTCAGTGAACTTTACAGGGCATAAATCTATTAAACTAAACATCCTTAGTGATATCAAGTTGCATACTTGTTTCACTAAAATAATCCAGATTAAGCAGTTTTCCTAATTTTGGCAGCAGACATGAACAAAAAGGGGTAATGAAATGATATTCATTCTAGAGCATGTGTATGCATGGAGGTATTTACCATTGTCCCCTTCACTTGAGTAGAGACATGACCCTTATCACTATCAATCATAGCTCTAGACAGACCAAAATCAGCAACTTTTGCGTTCAAGCGTTGATCTAGTAGTATGTTTGTTGATTTGATATCCCTGTGTATAATTGGAGGGTTCGCAAGCTCATGCAGATAGGCCAGGCCTCTGGCTGCTCCAAGGGTTACTTTAAGTCTTCTTAACCAATCCATTCTGATTCCAGTCTTTCCTGCAAATATAGGACGTAATTTTTTTCAGAAATCAGACAGAGCATGATATAACCTGGGACGAATTTTGATTTTTCTAACAATAGATGGTCTGTTCCATTTAGAGGGTAGCTCATTGTGCATCAAAGCTTGAAACGAATAATTTGTCAGCTCTATAATATTCATTGTTTTTACAAGATAGTGTTATGATATTCACTAAGTTTTGCTATGGTTCTTTGGAGACGACACTGAAAATTGTTGTCTCATTAAATATGAAGAGTACAATTGAAGAATCAAAGTGTACAAGAATTCATGCATTGGTGGAGAAGGTGAAGAAACGGAGGGGAATACCTGATAGACTATCCCTCAGAGAGCCATTTGGAACATACTCATATACCAGCATTTGTTCACCTCGTTCGAAGCAAAATCCATAAAGGCCAACAAGATTTTTATGATGGACTCTTGATAGAAGTTCAATCTCAGTTTTGAATTCCTGTCCACCTTGCATAGATCCTTGTTGAGCTCGTTTAATGGCAACCAGTTCTCCAGTGGGGAGAGTTCCTCTGTAAACCTGCAAAGATGTTGACAAAATCAAATTTTGGGAATCATTGACAACAATTTTGTTACAGAACTGAATACTATAAGACAAATTTAGGAAAAAAGTTACCAACAAGAAAAACTAATCCATAACCGGGGAATACAAGTATGTTGTTTTAGTAAAGACTTGGAAGGCTCATAAAATAATGACTTAATATTCTGCAAAACATACGATTATTCTTTTCAACCTTGTGTTTGTTTTTAACAATTTTGGAGTTCTGGTATATCCAGATCATTTCAAACATTAATTCAAGCACATTGGAGCTGACAGGCCAACATGTTCTGCTGAATGAGCAACTGAACCAACTATGCAAAGTGATGAGGAATGGGATCAAAGAGGGGAGAGAGAAAATCAAACCTTTCCATAACCCCCAGATCCGATATCGTTAGCTTCTGAAAACTGGTTTGTGAATTTATTAACCTCTTCAAAGGAGAAGCATCTTGCTCCTTTCAGTTGAGGAATATTACCACTGCTCTTGTTTTGGTCCCAGTGTGCTGCATGTATTTGTACAACATAAATACATATGACAATCCATAAACTGAAGAACATTAGGTGTAGATAAAATCCTATCATACCAAAAGGGTTCTGCTCATTTGCTTTCTGCGCTATCTTCTTTTGACGATGTGCATAAACCCCAGCAAAGATTAATAGTAACAGAAGGACACAACCACCAGCTGCTGCTCCAATGATAATGCCAATGTTTATAGAATTTTTTGATGCCGATCCTCCCAAAAGATGACACATAAACATATTTGTATCAACATCAAATAAAGCAAATTGCAACAATTCATTTTTAAGTTCTATGAGAATAGCAGAATTACCAGCAAAATGTACATATGGATCACCAATAAAGTAGTAAGGTCCAAAATTATGTGGAGGCTTGTAAGTCTGGTTGCTGAGGACAAATCCAAGACTAGAAATTCCTGTTCGATTGAAACTATCTTCACTAGATGGGGGAAATACTTGAACTTTCAAATTGAGGTACTCATTTGAATCCTTGCGTGGGTTACTCAGAGAAATTGAATCTACAGGAAGTTGATAAGACCGAAAGGCCGATGTCATATCTACCTCAAGTGTTGTAAAGTAAGTGATATTTCCCAAGCCTGAAAAGGAAGGAGCTCTGAAGACTAGAGTTCCTGTATATGGGTGAGCACACAGACAGTTGGGGCTAGAAATCTGATCTGAGCTGCAGGAATCTTGCCTACAATTGTTGGATGGTGTTGAATAAGTGGGACTCTCTTCGTTGGGTGTGCAGTAATCTTTTGTTTCACCTGACTCGTCACAAATAGGGTTACTTGCAAGTCTGCAAAAATCAGTAAAAAAAAAAGGCCAGTAAGTGAAAGAACACAGTTTTTTACAATGAATTCATATCCAGGATCTCTAACGCCCAAGAAGTTATTAGTTACACTTTTTTAGCAAACTATTGGAGAACAAATTCTAGGAGAATAAAAGAATTAAGCTTTACATGAAGTCAACATTGTCTGCTCCTGTTGTTGACGTGAAACCAGAAATTTGATTTTCTGTTAAATCAACTAATTCCAGCTGGTTGCTATGGCTGCTGCCAATGTCCATGGTGCCATTAAGCTGGTTGTTTCTCATTACCCTGTCACCATGTGTCAATAAAATTAGAAAATATTGCCATTGCCCAGGGAGTTTTCACTAACTCCTGTTAGGAGTCAGGGAATCTGTTTTTGTGCTTCAGTTGGAATTTTTGATACCAATGAACGTGGTATTACTTGAAATTTATGCTGATACTTACACTGTTTGTAGATGGGGATGGCTGAAAAATTCAGGAGGAACTTCACCTTGCAGTTGAGTACTGTCCATCATCCTGCCACATGAAGTAGTTTTATTGTCGTTCTAGTGTGTGACTGAAAACTTCATGAGACCAAACACAGAGTATTGGGGAGAGGAAGGGAGAGAAGTTCCACAAGATTTGTTTCCAAAAGATACATTAGAAAGACAGTCCTTTCATGAAGACTAATAATTCAGCATAGGAAGTGGTAAAATTTCCTAGAGTATTTGACTATTTTCTGATCAGTGCATTTGCAATCTAATATGTCGATGATTAGACAGAATATATGGCCTAGATAAAACGAACGGTGAACATATATTGTTACTTTGGACACAAAATGGCGCAGGTGATGCACTGTTGACTCAAAATTAACATGTCTGTGTTGCATCATAGAGAAAGAGTAAGAAATACAGGTGAAAGAACAGAGAGACATACACTGTTGTTAATGACTGCAACGTTGAAAACCATGTAGGAAAATCAGATGCATCAAAGCTGTTATTACTCATGTCCCTGCAGAGCATATCATAGAATTAAAATTGATATCAAATGAGAATGATAGATATAAACAGAGCCAGTTGACCTATTCTACTTACAAGGAGAAAAGGGAGTCCAAGCCAGTAAGGTTAGGCATGGGACCAGTCAATCTATTGTTGGACAAAAACCTGAATAATTTATCAAAAAACACTAAGAAGTTTTTCATGCAAGAGGGTGATGCCTTCCGAAAACAAGTATAAAAGCTTATTTGCGAAGTCTCTTTTGTCAGCTTACAACTCATTAACGTGTGAAAGATTGTTGAGGTTTGAAGGAATAGATCCACTCAATCGATTCCTATCGAAGCGTCTGCAATCAGGACCCCAAATTCATCAGAAAAAAAATTCAGAGAACCTCAGTGTTGGTAATCTATTAATTCATTTGAATTTGAGATGCAGATACTCACACGACTTCCAAAGTTTGCACAAGTCCAAGGGAGACAGGAAGTGTACCAGTCAGGTTGTTGCTCTCAAATAGCCTGTCGCAAGGTGGGGAAAAGTTAGAGGTAAAGAAAAGAATAAGTATTCTAAATTTAATAAAGACTTCATTAAACTTACACATGTATCAGAACCATTTTTGGGCTGAAAAGTTTTTCTGGGATGGTGCCTGAGAGTTGATTCTTTCCAAGATGACTGCAGGTGAGGGCGAGGATGTTAAGAGTAAAATAAAGCAAAGAAAACAGGGCCATAGAAAGCAAGATAACTAAAAGTTAAATTCATCTGACATACAAGTGCTTGGTACGAACTAGCATATCCAGGCCAGATGAATCTCCACTTGAGACTGGGATTGTCCCGGTAAGTTTGTTGTCAGCTAGGTCAAGCCAATAAAGTTCAGACAGACTACCGATAGAAGGAGGAATTTGTCCAGAAAAACTATTCGAATTTAAAGATCTACACATAGTAGAACTTGTAAGTAGCGACCTATGATGAGATATTCATACACCTGCAGACCCCTCAAGTATAACATATAATTGAAAATTGTGATAGTGTAAGTGAATCATCTTACAGATAGACCAGCTTGGATAGAGATCCAATTGAGTGAGGAATTGGCCCAGAAAAACCACAACCTACCAAGATTCTGGCAAGAAAATAAACACAACATATTTGTAATGAGGACTCTAACCACAGAAGTTCCTATCAGCTAATGGTTTGACAAGAATTTATATCCTTACAAAGTTGTTAGCTTATTCAAATTCCCAATTTCTGCTGGAAGAGATCCTCCCAGATCCTTGTTGTAGGATAAATCCCTACATGAAGAGTTCATAATCAAATAGAGAGAAATATGAAGAAAAAAATTTCCAACTAACACATAACAATCAAATGAAGGGGTCGACTTAAAACCAAATGAACAGATAAAACAGATGTAGCATTCTCTGTTCAAATTATCAGTAATTTTAAAAGACAGATGTATGATAATGAAAGTGCAGATAGAAGACGTACAGAGTTTGTAACTCCGATAAAGCTGTTATGTCTCCGGATAGAGTACCTGACAATCTCATGCCTGATAATGTTCTGAAAGACAGAATGGTTTAGCTTTAAAAGGCCGAAGAAGCAACTTATTGATAAGTATTTAACATGTAAAATAACTTGCTAAAAACTTTACATGGAAATCACACGTGAGTTGGTGCACCGAATTCCTTCCCAATGTTCATCACAAGGATCTGAGCCCCGCCAACTAGGTGGAAAATTCTTCCAGCTAAACTTGAGAGAATTTAAAGCAGCAGCTGCATCAAAATCCAGGCAACAAAAGGAAAAATGTTGCAAAGGTCAGCACCAAAACCTTATAATTTGAGACAGAACCAGAATTTACAGATAATTCGAAAATTAGTTTTAGCTCTGAAATCGTGTAATGTTAAAATGGTCAGCTCCAAAACCTTATAAGTTGTGACAGAAGTAGGATTTACAGATTACTGGAAAACTAGTTTTAGCCCAGAGATGGAGTATTATTACTAGAACTTAAGCAATATTTCCCAGAACAACAGCTCACAACTCTGAAGTGCTGTTCTACCGACAAAATTAAAGAAAATTAAGCATAAGCTGATTCTCTTTACAGATTCATTCAGGTATTTCCTAGTCCTAGATACTAGATAGTACTCAAATAACTCAAACTACCAGAATGTCGAATTCTGCTAAAATATTAGATTGAAAATTCGAGATATTTTGCAGTTGATAACATAACAAGCAGAGATAACCATCAACTCTAAACAAAAAAATTATAACCAAAACCCTTCAATTGGTGATCCATTTACAGTCATTGAATCTTGATTTTTCACCAACACTAAACTAAAACATCACATACATTTAAGATCCTTCAATTACAAATCACCAAAGCAAGAACTTACCATCATCTGAGTTAGTTGTAGCTGCTATGATCATAAACTGGATTGAAAGACACAGCACAAACAGTTGAAATTGTAGACCCATAATCTGAAGAAGCAAACAAATATAAACTTCAAACTTGAAGAAACTTCACAACTTTTGTGGTATTTTCAGTTTCTAAACTTGCAGAAAACATAAAACCCATCCGATATCATCCTCTAAATAGCTCATGCAAAGCCAGAAATTTGACAAAACAGAGTTAACCATGTTGGTTCATATTAATTGGCAACCAAAGCTTGCATGTTGGAGGTTTCAAAGTCAATATTCCTATTTTTAGTAAACGTTCAAGAAACATGTATGGAGTCGTCCTAATTCTCCAAGGCCAACCAAATAATTATAAAAAAATTAAAAATATAATTACAATAAATTTGTCTTAATTGATGCGACCTAACAACAGGGCTGCATTCAATATGTAAATGGTGTACAGCTGGGAAGTATTTAATAAAAATCTTCATAAAATAGTGACAGAGTAATGGCGGGTATTTCGTGAATTATCTGACTATGGGAAGAAAAATATCGTGGCTTGTGATGGTGAACTTTGAAGAATTTTAAGCATGCATCAGCGAATCATTCAAAGAGTTGAATTTCTTCATGAACTAACAAGCTTCTGTTTAAGGCAATTATTTAAACACATAAAGTGTAAAATAATAGCAGGTGAAAAGTTTTCAACACCTAATCCTAATTATAAGTATTTTATTTATTGTGTCAAAAATATATACTAAGTATTTTATTTGTTGTGCGAAAAATATAGATTAATGTCAGTTCTACTCATTAGAGTTTAACAAACACTCAAAAGATAAAATACTATTAGTTGTTAAAACTCAACCAACCTCAAAGAGATATTTTATATCAATTATATATTAAGGAGTGATCCCACATGAAATTTAGTCTAAGCCAGCGAACAAGTCACTGCTGCCGGCATGTTCAGAGTTGAGGTCAGATATTTGGAGCTTTTTACGGTGAAATCATGGAGACTTGGAGTCTTTTTTGAGATTTTTATAATTTACGTAAAAAAGTCAGAGGCCTGCTTGAGTTTCTATTTAGGCATGCGGAGAGAGGGAGAGGGACCACAGCACTTTATAATTACAATGTCAGACTTAATTATGCATTGAATTTTATCACCAGCTTTTCTGGGCATGTGGGTCGTGAGTAAGTTTAGCCAGCAACAGCATGGCACTCAAGTTGGAGAAGCAGCCAATCCAACACCCTTGTACGCCTTTTCATGACTTGTAAGGTCCCCAGCTTCTCCCCACCTTGTTTAAGAGGATTGTCCTTTTGACTTGACGAGATATGTTGAGGATGTTACATATATAATATAGTTCTTGTATGTTTGATAGCATGAACCAATAGAAGTTTAAATAATTTTATCATTTTTATTATATTATATTGTCGAGAGTTAATTCATGTACGTATGGATAATTGTGATTATATAGAAAGTTTCTATCCAGGCACTTTTGTTGATAGTCATATGTTCACACTTTGGATAACATAATAATGATTGAAACAAATGGGAGTGGTAAACCCCTTAAGCATTCAAAAAGCTTTCTTAATCAATATAAGTGTTGATGTGTGATTTTGACACCAATGACCTAGTACGTGCAAAATATTAAGAAATTCTTAAAAATTATACGTAAATGATTATGAGAGTTGATTATAGTACGGAGATTATATATGTTTGCAAAAACATAAATAATAGGTTGGCAAGAGAGATTTTTATAGTGATTCGGATGTTTAAAGTGAATCCTACATCCACTATTATTTTATTATTCTCTGACTATTTTTCTAATATTGCCTGTAAGGTGTACAAAAATAGAGAAATGTTTTATTTATAGAGAAAAAATAATGGTTGAAGCTCTCATTTGTGCCCAACTCTCATATGCTCATCCCCTTCTTTCGTGAAGAGATGTGTCAATTTATACCTTTGAGATCAATATAATGAGTGCTTTTGCAAGTTGCCTTGACATGTGAGGACCACTCCTTAATCCTTATCTTAAAATGGGATATAATTGATATAAAATTTCTCTTTGAGGCAGTTTGGGTTTTGATAGCCAATACCATTTTGTCTTTGAGTGCTTGTTAAGCTCTAATTGGTGATGCTGAAATCAGTGTATATTTTTGGCACAACAAATACCCCCCCCCCCCCTAACCTAGTTTTTGGAGTGCGTAGTCACTTCAAAAACTCATGTCTTAAATCTGAATGGCTATCGCACTATAGGCTACAGTCACGAATTGAAGAGCTCAAACTATGCCTGACGTGATCGAGTGCTACAAACTATGACTGCAATCTGAGCGCTTAGAGCGATCCAAAGCTGAGCGCAATATAATAATTGACATAAAATGTCTAGTAGATGAATTCTTGTAGAGTACTGAGCGTCAGAAGCCCAAACGTGCAGCTCAAAGGTCTTAAAAAGACAAGCCAACTTAAAACAGCCATAACTTTTGATGTGGAAGGAGTTTTGGAGCCCGTAGGATATCCATGAAAAGCTCGTTCTGAGCTCTATGTTGTGGCAACAGGGGAACCTAGTCGAGATCATTTTTGGGGCCAAAATCAACCATTTTCGGCATGTTCAAAACTGTTTTGAGTTTTCTACGCGTTTTTTCTAACGCTGACAACTGGTCGTGATCTGAGAACTGAGAATTGATCACGATCTGAGAGCCGAGAACACAATCTGAGGCTGTTCGCAATCTCAGAGTTGAGAGTTGATCATGATTTGAGATCTTAAAGAGCTTGATATGTACACATGATCTAAGTGATTTGAAGTGCGTGATCTGAAAGATCTGATGCATACGATCTCAGTGAATGAGCGAGCTTATGAGCTCGATCAAAGAGAGCATAAAGAGCTCGATATGAAGCACAAGGAGCTTTGATATGAGAACTCGAGCTCTGCGATCTGAGAGCTTGAGAGCTCTTTGCAATCTAAGAGCATAAGGAGTTCGATCAGAAAGCATATAACACAAAGAGTTCGATCAGAAAGCATATAACACAAAGAGTTCGATCAGAAAGCGCGAAACTTGATCTGAGAACATAAGAAGTTTGATCATAAAGCGCAAAGCTTGATATGAGAACACATATAGTTCGATTAGAAAGCGCGAAGCTTGATCTCTAAGAGCATAAGGAGTTCGATTCAGAAACGTGAAGCTTGATCTGAGAACTCGAGATCAGCGATCTAGGCGCTCAGAAGCATGATCTGGCCGCTTAGAAGCGTAATCTAAATGATCTGAACGCATGATCTCAGCGATCTTGAACACCTAATCTCAACGATCTTAAACGTGCAATTTGGATGCTCAAAAGCACGATTTGGCCGCTAAGGAGCACAATCTAGTCACTTGGGAGTGTGATCTAAATGCTCTGAACGCGTGATCTCAACGATCTTGAACTCGCGATCTCAAGAGCTTGGGAGCTCGATAGCTTGGAAGCTAGAGAGCTTGGGAACTCGATCTGATCTGAGAGATCTGAGCGTGCGATCTGACCACGCGATCTGAGAGCTCTGATGAGCGATTTGAGTAATCTAGCCATGCGATCTAAGTGGTCTGGCCATATGATCTGAGAGCCCTGATGTGTGCAATCTGGGAGATCTGAGAGCCCTGATGCGTGCAATCTGGGCGATCTGAGAGCCCTGATGCGTGAAATCTAGGCGATCTGAGAGCCCTGGTATGTGCAATCTGGTCGATCTGACAACATGATCTGAGAGCTCTGATGCGCACTGATATGTACGATCTGGGCGATCTAGCCATGTGATCTAAGAGCTCTGATGCGGGTTATATATGCGATTTGGCTACGCAATTTGAGAGCTCTAATGCATGCAATCTAGCCACACGATCTGAGAGCTCTGATGCATGCGATCTAGGTGATCTGACCATGGGATCTGAGTGTTTGCATGTGGAACATGCTTCAATATTTTGATGATAACTTAAGCTGTAGACCTCGGATTTTGATGATTCTTAGACCATCGGAAAGCTAACTCGAAGGGCTACAATTCTTGTATTTACCATTTTGCCAGATTTAGACTTTATCCTACTCAGATTTTCACATCTGATAATGTGAAGATTTTGAGGCTTGCTGGAAAAACATGGAGAGCTGATGTGAATCATGCCCTTCCTCTAGCTATAAACTGTTGATGTGTGATTTTGACACCAACGACCTTGCAAGTGCAAAGTACTAAGAAAATCTTAGAAATTACACATGAATGATTATGAGAGTTGATTATGATGCAGAGATTATATATGTTTATAGAAACATAAATAATAGAATAAGAAGAAAGATTTTTACAGTGGTTTGGATGTTTAAAGCGAATCCTACATCTACTGTTATTTTAATATGTTTTGACTATTTTTCTGATATTGCCTGTAAGGCGTACAAAAATGGAGAAATGCTTTATTTATGGAGAAAAAATAATGGCTGAAGCTCTCGTTTGTGCCCAGCTCTCATATGCCTAGCCTAAATTCCATGTTAACGGGGTAAATACTATTCCCAAACTTTAGGTAAAATCTTTTCCATAAACGTATCTTCTAAAATGTGTAGACCCCGACTTCGAAACTAGAGCCGCCTCCAACAAACCATGCCTGCCATTATTAAAAGGCAAACGACATGTGTCTACCCATAGTAAGTTGGTACCGAAAAGTTTGAAAATGACAAACAGTTGATTCCTTTAGGTTCTGTTAGAAATTTCCGTTAGCTAAATTACAACAGTGCTAGAAAAGACTTAAATGCCTTTGCCAATTTAATACTATAGTATTATTACCTGAGGTGGCAGACAACGTGGCAGTGCCACGTCACCAACTTGCCACATCAGGTACCCCACAATTTACAAAAAAATCAAATGTAAATCTTCGGCTCCTGAATTTTTCAAACCTAATCCCAAATTTCAAATAATATCAATCCCTAAACCCAAATTACAAACCCTAAATTTTGAATTCTCTCCCAAATGCTTACTACCCAGGCTTCAAAACTGTTCATATCGATCTCTAACATTTAGATGAAATTTTTTTTTTCACATTGCCCTAAGTGCACCTCTTTTTCTCTTTCGTTCCCCCTTGTAGTCACTAAATCGAATCAGAAATTAATTGTTGTGATTGGGCAATATGAGTTCAGAATCACAATCTCCTCCTCCCCAGCGATGGTTATCGTGCATCAAGTGTTTCGACGCTCTTGGGCTATCTTCCTCCTGATTTATTTTTTTCAATTTACAACTTAAGCATCAATCAAAAAAAAATTAGTATCTTCCCCTTTATAGGTTTGTGTAACCAATTTGATGGATTCTATTTCTTGTAATATGTTAAGCGTAATGTGAATTAGATTATTGCATAAGTTAGGTTATCTTCCTTTTGCAGTTGTAAATTTGTTACCCATATGGGTTTGAAATTTATAGCTAACATCTTGCTTGGCTCAAAATTTGTTGAGTGTTGACCGTTCGAGGATGTGACATCTCTGAATCATTTATACTTGGAATGCTGCATATCAAAGCTGACTACCAGGATTGATAATTTTGTTATATTTATGTGTGTTTTTATTGGCTTCATCATTTTTGTGCACACAATATTGAATACCAGAGTTTGTTTATGCTGTAGGAAAATTAGATATGTATTTAACAGGTCAGTTACATTAACTAACTAGTTTGCTTTAGAGTGTTGCTGCCCATTGATTTTGGTTGTGGTCTATATGTGGTGTAATCATACAGAAGTTTAGTTTAGTTCATTTTATTCGAAATGAGTTTAATTTATTTATGGTTTTCCAGAGGAAGCAAAAACAAAGGCTAAGAACATGGAGGACAGATATGTAGATAGCTGTAGACGCAAATGCAGATTATCAGAATGCAGTTTCTGATGTCACATATTGTTCCTGTATTATATATTTATATTAAGTCAGAGCAGATGCAAACTCATCGAAGGTGACTAACGATAGTGATCAAAATAGATAGTTTCTAATATCATATTGTCCCTGTATAATATAATTCACTTTTGTTCGTTTGAAATGCAACATTGACTACCTTTTGATTAATGCATTTTGTTCGTTTGTGCAGTGACGGTACATTGTTTCATATTGTATATGCTTTGTGATTAATGCATTTACTGTAATTGAAATGTGCTTTTGGACTTGCTTTTAAGAGTAGTGAGATGTGAAATGATGTTTTATTTATTTAGTCGCTGAATATTCATATACTTGACTTTGTGATTGCTTAATTCTGATGGTCTCTTATTTATCTATATATCTCCTTTGCAATAGTACAACAGAATTGATGCATGTAGTCGAAGGTGAAGTTTAGGCTGTGCTTTGGCTATCATTGATGCTCATTTAGTCAATGCGTATTGGCTTTTCTGCAGATCCTCCAAAGAAACATAACTGCAAATTTTCTTAAGAATAATACTACACATACATCATTCTCATACAATATTTCTCATACAACATTATGTGGCAAGATATGATTGGGTAAAAGTTTAATTTTAACTTTAAATTAACCAATCATATCTTATCTCATAATATTGTATGAAAATGATGTATGTGTAGTATTACTTTTTTTAATATATTATCCGCACGCAGTGTGATAAGGCCACCCTCAATTTAAAAAAAAAAAATTAAATATATTATTCTATTTAGTTTGACTTTGGCCCACTCTCAATTTTTATTTTCAAATATTAAAAAATGTGGCCCACTCTCAATTTTAGCATTAAAAGTCTTGGTCCACTCTCCATTTTAATACTCAAAAGCTTGGCCCACCTCCCACCTTCAATTTTTTAATAAAACTTGTAAAAGTAAACCTTCCTCTACAGTTACAATTTGCAAACCCTCAGTCCGTAGTCGCTCACATCTTCCACAACTCCTTTGCTGCTCTTCCTAATTCTTCATAGTTTAGACTTCAACAAAATTCTATTAGCTATTTTCTCTCTTGTTAGTACTTTTTTTTATGTATAATGTTTTTCTTTTATTTGTATGTATTAGCATAATAGCATTATACATTGAATTTTTTATTGAGAAAACTTTTAGAAAAAAAGGAGAAGATGGGAATCGAAACATTGTTCTCTAAATACAATTTGAGCATATCAAGATTACTGGATAATGTTATGATGGCGTGAGTAATATGCGAGGTCAGTTTAATGGGTTAAAAGCACTTATATTGAAAGATAATGAAAATGCCTTCTATGTTCATTGTTTTGCTCACCAATTTCAACTGGCATTTGGAGCTATGGCAAAAAAGGATACAAATATTGAGAGACTTTTTTTGAAAGTTTCTTGTGTTATAAATATTGTTGGATGGTCACCTAGACATAGGGATCTTCTTAATGAGAAACAAGCTTTGAAGGTGAAAAAAGCTACTGAAAGTGGTGGGCTTTCAACAGGGCAAGATCTTAATCAAGATACTAGTCTTAAGCGGCCGAGGGAAACACAGCAGGGTTCACATTATGGGACTTTATTGAACTTGATTAATTTGTTTTCATCTATTATTGAAGTGCTTGAGGATCTTACTGAAAATTCTGATAATAGAGTTGACGCAAGTGATTTGGTGGATTATATGACTTCTTTTGATTTTGCTTTTAACCTGCACATGATGAAAAACATTTTGGGAATCACATTTGAACTTTCACAAACATTGTAAAGGAAGGATCAAGATATTATAAATGTTATGTCTTTGGTTCACTTGTCGAAAAGAAGATTATTGTTAATAAGAAATAATGGATGGGATAATCTACTTGATGAAGTTTCTCATTTTTGCATTGCTCATAATATAAATGTGCCAAACATGGAAGAGAAATTTGTTGCACGTGGGAAACCACAGCGTAATGTTCAAGAGATGACAAATTTATTTCATTATCGTGTCGAGTTGTTCTATGACATAATAGATTTGCAATTATCAGAGCTTAACAATCGTTTTAATGAAGGTAATACAGAATTACTTATTTGCATGACTTTCCTAAATCCAAGTGATTGCTTTCAAGCATTTGATAAGGGAAAATTAGTTTGTTTTGCTCAATTCTATCCACTTGAATTTTCTTCTACTGATCTTATGAACCTGAACTTCAACTTGATAATTACATTGATGATATGCACTCGGATAGTGATTTTTTAGAACTAAATGATATTATTTACTCATTGGTTGAAAAGAAGAAGCATTTTATTTACTCATTGGTATATTTGCTCATTACATTGGCTCTAACCTTACCATTTGCAACTGTAAGTATAGAAATGACATTTTCTGCTATGAAAATTGTGAAGACTCATTTACCCAATCGGATGGAAGATCAATTCTTGAATGATAGCCTAATTCCATATTTTGAGAAAGATATATTTGACAGTGTTGATAAGGAGATGGTCATGCAACGATTCCTCAATATGAAGCCCCACCGAGGACAATAGTAAATATAATTTTTTTTTCTTTTTGTGAAAATATTGACTAGAAAAACAGAATATGAATGTTATATACAATTAGTTTTTATTTGGCCCACCCTAACAGAATTTTCTAGATCCGCCCCTGATTCTCTTTGTACTCATTACTAGGGGTGTTCAAAAGAACCGGTTGGAATCGGAACCGGCAGGTACCCTAGGTTTGGTTCCAATTCCTACCCAGAACCAATTGTCAATGGGTAGGTTCCGGTTCCAAATTTTTGGAACCGAAACCAGGAACCAGGAACCGAGACTAATATAAAATAAAATTAAAGATTAGGGGGGGTTAATAAAAGCTTTTGTAGAAAAAATAATGTGAATACATTTATATTTATATTTCATAACATTTAAAGTAAGTTGATTTGACTTTTGAGAATCTACCTTTACAAAGTAATGGAGTTTGTAATTTTGAATTTATAATTTGTAATTTTATTTTTGTTAACAAGTGTTAGGGGGGTATTTGTAAGTTTTTAAGGGTTTTTTTGCCATTTTAAAAACTTTTGGGGGGTCATGAATTTTACAGGGTACCCAAAACCGAAACCGGAACTGTTGTTACAGGTTCTGGTTCTGGGAACCTAGGAACCGAAACCGTCAGTTCCAATTCTGGTTCCAAATTTCAAGGAACCGTCGGTTCCGGTTCCTTCAAAAAGTGTAGGGTACCCGGACCGAACACCCCTACAGTCATTACATCGTAATTAACCCAAAAAATTCAGCACCAATTTCATTCCAAAAGATTTACACAGTTCAATTTTTTTCCAAATTTAATGGGAGACGAATGAAATAGAAATGGTAGTTAAGCTTATCAGCCTATGCCACTTCCTCAGGCCAACATAGAAATGAACTCCTAGGTGTCAGCTAAAAGTAATCAAACAAATTGTGGTAGTTTTAAATACAATCAAATTGATAAACACTTAATAACAATAACAATTTTTTCCTAGACTTGCAATTCATCTTCATACCAGCTGCTCCACTTGTTTGCTAAGGAGATTTCAGTTCAGAACGGCACTCTCACAGGATAGGTCATAAGCTTTCAATTTTTTTTGTAAAAAACAAGCATCCAGAATTTCATCATTCAACCTCTCACACACTAGACAATTCTCATGAGGCAATCCAATGCCTTTTGCAGCGCAACTAGCACAATACCAACTTTTTGGAGGAATCTCTTTAACAGCTATGGCTCAACACAGGAGACATGGTACATTTCTTAACATGAATCGCAAACTAAACAATCCTTCTGATGAACAACCCAGAGGACTGGTATACCATAGGAAGGGCAAGGGTAAAAAGTAGAGGAATAAGTAAAAAGGTTGGAGTTTGTTAGAAAAGACAGATGGCTTGACAGGAGCAAAAATAGGAATTCTGTTAGAAGTACAAAAGGTGCCAGGAATGAATAAAAAGGGGAGGAGAGAAAAAGAAGTATCAGAGAAAAAATAGTAAATTTGGTAGGGAGGCAGCTGACCATCGAAGTCAGTATTCTGGGCGGTGACTGACCCTCGAAGTCAGCCTTTAGTACCATTTTTCTTATTTCATTTGCTGTGTTTTCTAGTACATTTGCTTAGTGAGTACTGATAGGGCAAGGCTACTGGAATTATTGTTCTGGTTGTACTATTCTGTGCGGATACTAATAGAACTGGGCATTTCATTATTGATTGTGAGTGATTGGTTGTGTGTTGTGGTATATTCTGTGGTGTTGCTGGTGTTTTTGTAGGACAGGTTCTATCAATTGGTATCAGAGCACTGTCGTCTGGGTAATGGTCTTGACGAGGATGGATTCAAGAATGAATAATGTTCAGAGAGAGATTACAAAGTTGGGGGTAGAAATGGGTACAATCAGAGAATGTTTAGTGGAGTTGCAGTCTTGGGTACGACGGAAAGACGAGGAAGAAGCTAGCAGAGCTGAGATATGGTCAGCAGAGAATATACAGTCTCACCAAGAAGAAAACCCAAACGGAGCCAGTGGGTCTGGGAACGATGCTTCAAGCCGCAGTGAAACGGGGGGCCGAAAGCTGGAAATGCCCATATTTTTTGGCGAAGATCCGTACGGATGGATCTTCAAGGTTGAGTGTTACTTTAATCTCAATGGGATATCAAAGGAAGGGAAGTTAACGGCGACAACCATTTGTATGGAAGGTGAAGCTATAAATTGGTTTCAGTGGACGGAATCCAAAACTCCGGCAAGCTCATGGACCATGTTTAAGCTAGCACTACTGCAACGTTTTAGCGGGTCACAAGAACTCAACCCCTACGAATCTTTAATGGCAGTCAAACAAAATGGTTCAGTAATGGAGTTCCGTCACCAATTTGAAGCAGTTGCAGCGCTGTTGGTGGGGGAGAAAGATGAAATACTGCAGGCTGCTTTTGTGAATGGGCTGAAGGTGGAGATACGGGCTGAAGTCAGATTGGCCCAACCAAATTCATTAATTCAAATCATGGAATTAGCCCAACGAATTGAAGACAGAAATCGGGCTTTAGAAGAAGCCCAAATTGGATCACATAAGCCTTCACGCACAGTTGGGCCTGGTCTATCTTATGGGCCCAACAATCAAGGGTCCAGGATTGCGACCCAGTTTGAGCATCACCCGAATAGCATGACCCGATTTGAACCTAACCCAACTAATCCTAAATTTCCCAATTCCGTTGAATCCCTAAAAACATACTTCACATCCCATTTCAATCGTCGTTCACCAGAATCCTCCGTGCAAGGTTCTTCGACAAATTTCCCAACTTGCAACCAATCGACGACATCCTTCAGGCCGTCAGAAAGTCAGAACTTTCCATGACAAGATTTTCCCTTCCGTCGAATGACAGATGCAAAGATCCAATGAAAACGAGAAAAAGGGATTTGTTTTAGGTGCGATGGGAAGTATTCGATTGGGCATAGATGTGGGGAGAAACAGTTTTAGATCATCTTGATTGACGATGAGGAAGATGACCCAGATCTGATTGGGATAGAAGACACTGTCGAAACGAGATCTGAGCAACAGCAGGAACATGTGGAACTCTCTCTTAGTTCAGTGGTGGGGATTCAGGGTCTGAAAACAATGAAGCTTAAAGGAAGGATCCAAGGTAAGGAAGTGATTGTTTTGGTTGATAGTGGGGCTTCCCACAATTTTATTAGTTCAACGGTGGTGGAACAGTTGGGAATTCCAATGGTGGGGACTCAGTCTTTCGGGGTCAGAGTAGGTGATGGGTATAGTGTGCGATGCGAAGGGGAATGTCGGGATGTATGTATGGAGTTACCAGGAGTAACGATTGTTCAAAATTTCTTCCCATTTGATATGAGCAGTGCGGACGTAGTCCTGGGTATTGCGTGGCTTGAGACTTTAGGCGAGACTGTTATGGATTGGAGGAAACAAACAATGAAGTTCACGTTGGGAAACCAGACAATTTGTCTGTATGGGGACCCGTCTCTTAGCAAGACAATGGTTTCCCTCAAGGCAATGATTAAGGCACTGCAGAATGAAGGCCAGGGCTGTTTGATAGAATTTGGGTAGATACAGACTCAGTGTGAACAGATAGGGAACATCAATGACAGACTGCTGGAGGTTTTAGGAAAGTTTAGCAGAGTCTTCGAGCCACTGCCGGAGTTACCACCGGTCAGATCAAAAGATCATACCATCCAATTAGTGCCAGGAGCACAACCACCCAACCTCAAGCCATACCGGTACCCTTATTACCAGAAAAATGAAATAGAGCGCATTGTCAAGGAAATGTTAACTTCAGGGATTATAAAACCCACTATTAGTCCGTTCTCCAGTCCTGTTTTATTGGTGAAAAAGAAAGATGGAGGGTGGCGATTCTGTGCAGACTATCGGGCAGTTAACAAGGTGACAATTCCGGATAAATTTCTGATTCCCGCCATCGACGAATTGTTTGATGAGTTAGAAGGAGCAACGGTGTTTTCTAAACTCGATTTGAAATCCGGATATCACCAAATCCGAGTGAAACCCAAAGACACCCATAAGACTGCTTTTTGAACACACGAAGGGCACTATGAATTCCTCGTAATGCCTTTCGGCCTTACCAACGCACCGGCAACTTTTCAGGCAGTCATGAATGACTTATTCAGACCATACTTAAGAAAATTTTTATTGCTCTTCTTCGATGATTTACTGATTTCCAGTCGGGAGATGGATGAACATGTGAAGCATTTAAGCATTATTTTGCAGGTATTGTTGGAGAATCAGCTGGTGGTCAATCAAAAGAAATGTCAGT